CCGAGAAACATTCTTAACATTCTTTCCAGAGAAAAGGGGTGAAATGTCTGAATTTGGGGGTCACCACGTTATACAAATTGCAATCTAATCGTTTTTACAAGAACACACTTGCACTAAGAAAAGGAGCCCAGGAGGAGGGGAAGAGGAGACAGCTTGTTTTGTCCCCTTCCCCCAAAAGTTTGCACTATTGTCGCCCGATCTCTCCCTCCAGCACAGCAGCGAGCCAGAGTTCCTAGTTAAATTGGGCCTGGGCTGGGGGCCTCAACGGGCCCACGGTGCCATTTCTGTTTGTTTTCCCCAATCAAAGCCCCAGCAGGACTCCCGTGGCACCGCTGGGCCGCTATTTGAGGAGACGGCAGCTTCCCAGAGCCTGGTGTGTCAGTTTATGCTCTGAACTTAACCTCACGGGCACTGCACAACAGAGCCTCCAGGGCCCTGGGCCCAGAGGCAAAAGAAATTGTATCTTTTTATTGGCCCATTTAAAGTGTGTGTGGCCATTTCTGAGAAGAACACAGGAGAAAGAAACTCCTCAGGCGTCTGGCTGGGCTGGGCTGGCAGAGTCGGGTTCTGCACTTGTCCTGTCCCCAGGGGCTGGCCCTCGCTTGGGCCCTTGGGCCTCCCACAGCCGCAGGGGAGGGGGAACCCTTGGGCTGCTCTGTATTTCTTGTTGCAGACACTTATGGCCATGACATCTTCTAGTGGTGGCTCAGATGTGGGGGCAGTGGCCCAGGTCAGCGGCTCGGTCTGGGTGTGCCCCTTTGCAGCCCTGTGGGTACCCAGCCTCCTTCCCACTGAGCCCTGGGTCCAGGGCTGGGCAGGTAGGGCCATGCTGGGCTCCACTCTCCCCAACCCCCATTGCCTTTCATCTTCTATTTCAAACAGACAAACATGAAATTACTTCTATAGATTAAAGGGGAGAGCTCCTCAGTCATTCCTTAAGGCCTCACTAATGGAGGGGGCAGGGCCCCCAGATCTGGAAGGAAATGGAGAACTGTTGACCGAAACAGTTCTTACTGGGCACGCACAAATGTACACGTGTGCCTTGAAAGAGAGAACAAGTCATCCCTCTGCAGGCTCCCGCCGCCCGGGTGGCGGACTGACGGCCCGCACGGGAAGGCAGAAGCCCTCTAGGAACCTCCCTCAGTGATGTCTAGAGATGCTGCTCTCAGGGGAGGGCTTTCTGCCTGAGCCCTCTCAGGATGCCCACAAACACTAGTCGTCTTCTACCCCAAGCCAACACTGGTATAAGAGGAGAACTCCCCATGAATGGGCAGGTTGGGGGTGCCGGTTTAGGGCCCAACTCCCCACTGGACCTCAATAGTGCTCTTTGAGGGGGTCACCTCACTGTCAGGGCCCAAGGTGGCAGGCAGAGCGGGCTCCGTCAGCCTTCAGGGAAGATGGCGGCTCCACTCAGGAGGAGTGGGACAAGGGTCTCTGTGAGGTGGAAGGACTGGGGCTAGTCTGCATTCAGATGTGTGCTTAAAGCCTTCACTGTCTCCAGCCCTTTGCCAAAATGCTGCTTAGGCCAAAGATGGGGAGGTGGGCCTGTGACATCCACTCCCACCCATGCCAGGGCTCTTTCCGGGGCCTCCCTGTGACATGTCCATGGCCTTGTTTCTCTTGTTATGTCATGGAGGAGAGCCTAGCATCTCTCAGATGAAGCTAAGGGGTCGTGCCTGGGGGCCAGCACCTTCTTCATTCTCCCCAATCATTCTACAGAAACTCAACACTTCTACCCATCCCCTAGTCACAAGGATTAGTGGGTACACTTGATGTTGAGGGGTAGTTGCTAGGGCCAGGAGGCCCCCCTACGTGGTTGCTAGGGGTCTGGCATCAGGACAAGGGGGCTGCCCACTGCCGCGGTCACGGAGGGAATCACACAGTCACAAAGAAATTGTTCTTCTCAGTAATCTGCTCTCAGCCACCGGGAGCAGGCTGGAGCCCAGCAGGCTGGGGGCTGTGATCACAGAGCGTGCGAGCCCTGGGCTGGGGGCCAGCTGGGCTGGGAACACCAGGGACCAGCCCGCTAAGCTGCTTTCTCAGCGATTTCTCTCTCTGGACACAAAGGTGTTGACTTGTTTTAACATCTCCTGGGACTCCCCTTCTCCCTTTGTGTGGTCTTTATCCCCAATGAGGTTTGAGCCCCAGATTACAGGCGGGAATTAAGGCATTGGACTCGGGCAGCTCAGAACTGCATGACCTGCAGGATCAAGGGAGTATAAAGTAACCAAGTGTGTGTGTGTGTGGGGGGGGGGGGGTTTGTCCCCATTCATCGCCCAGAGGAGTGGCTGGCAGTGGGCAGCCAGCGTGCAGGTGTGCTGGAGGGGCTCCTGAGAGACCCTGGGGGAGGTGGGAGGCCTGTGGCTGGGTGAGGGGTAGGGTCTGGGGCCTTGCCCTCTGCCCGCTTCCTCAGGGATTCTAATTCTAGCTCAGGAAAGAGAGCTGCATTTCCCAAGCTCTGAATCCATCTGGAGGACCACGGTGAGCAGCCTCCGCCCTTCCTCTCTTCCCAGTGGGCAGCTGATGACACACCTGGGCAGTAACTTTCCCCCAGGGGCTGGGGTGCTGGATGTCATGTACGAGACCCCTTCTACTCTCCTGTCCTGTGGCTATGACACCTATGTTCGCTACTGGGACCTTCGCACCAGTGTCCGGTGAGTGTGCTGGCTGGGGGCAGAGAGGTGGTCAGCCCCATGCAGTCTTGGTCCTCGTTCCAGCCCTGGGTCAGCCCAAGGGTAAGGGCACAGAGACTCCATGTCAGAGGCTGAGTAGAGAGGGGCCTGCAATATCATACATCAAGCTGAGACTCCCTGTGGGGTACTGTTTCCTGTCTGGCTCGTGAGACTGCTGTCCCTCAGCCTTCTGGCCCCATCTTTCTGGAGCCTTGGTTCCCTCCCACCTGATGAATTCCATGGCATGGAAACCCAAGTGAGGATAGAATCTGCCCTGTGTCTGGGGCTTGACACATGAGAGACCTTTACCGAAGATGCTACGATGCCATCTCCTGTTAAGATTGCTTTGTAAAGAGTTTGGTGATACAGGCTTCTCTCTCCCAGCCCAGGGTGACGTCCTAACCCTCCCCTGAGCTTCCCCTGGGGAAACTGGGGTGGCGATGGATGGTGTCCCCAAGACTCCCCCTGTGTCTCCTCTTCCTGGACAGGAAGTGTGTCATGGAGTGGGAGGAGCCCCACGACAGCACCCTGTACTGCTTGCAGACAGACGGGAACTACCTGCTGGCTACAGGTTCCTCCTACTATGGCGTCGTGCGGCTGTGGGACCGGCGCCAGAGGGCCTGTCTGCATGTAAGTGCTCTGCCTGCCTTCCTGCCGCCAGGATGCCAAGGCTTATTATTACGGACTGTACCTGGGAGTGTGATAGGGACAGGGGTGCGCTTGGAGGGGCTGGGGGAAGCGCTGATGGCACACAGGCCTGGGGATCTGGGGTTAGGGTTCCTCCATCTCCCACTTGGAAACCTGTCACCGCGTCTCATACCCTCCTTTCCAGGCCTTCCCGCTGACGTCGACCCCCCTCAGCAGCCCTGTGTACTGCCTGCGTTTCACCACCAAGCATCTCTATGCTGCACTGTCTTACAACCTCCATGTCCTGGACTTTCAAAACCCATGACAGTCAGAGCCACCCCAACTTGTGGGCCAAGGAGCCAGCTACTCAGGGACCTCTCCTGCCTGGAGGGTGCATGGATACCCCTGCCCGCTGCACCTGTGACCACAGTGCTGAGGGCCTTGTGGGTTACTCGGGATGGAGCCCCCCCGGGAACCAGTTGGAGAGATGGGACCTGCTGCTTTGGGAGAGTGTGGCAGGGTCTGGGCCTTGTTTCCCTATCTGGCCTGGTGACACCCACCCTGGAGCCCACCCTCCTGAGATCCAGCACCAGCTTACGGAGTAGGTGAGGTGCTCCACACTGCCCAGTTGGTCCCTTTCTCCCCTCCCCTGGATAGAGGTGCGAGGCTCTGCCAGTACCCCAGCTGCTGGCACTGTCCCCTCCAGGTCAGAATGCACCCTTGATGAAGATGATGGGGCTCGTACCTGGGACACTATGGCTTGGTTTTGCTTTGAAACCGAGAAACGGCAAGAGGAACCCAGCAGTTTTGAGTGAGTGCTGAGCCAGACCGACTTCAGGTGGGCTGCTGAAACATGCTACAGTTTTCATTTTTGTAAAAATAAAGCTTGATTATTCATAGATCTGGTTCCGGACTGGCTGGGCAGTCCGAGGAGGCCATGACAGACTCAAACTAGGGGATGTTATCTGCTGTGGAAAGGACAAGACCAACCTCATGGCCTGGTTGACCTAAAGAATGAAAACGTCCCACTGACCCTGGTGGTGGGGTGGGTATCACTGTTGGGGTGTGGAGAGAGGAATATGGAAGCTCCCCGGGCAGCTAGGGGCTAAGCTGCTATCTGTTGTGACCCCTCCACCCCACCTCAACACACTCACCCTGTAGTAATACTAAGACCTTTATTCTAGCTTTTCACCCACAATTGCTTAACATCCTAGGCCTGTTTCCAAGGTTTCCGCATTTTAAAAACTCCTCTCTTGCCCACATCTGTCTTAGGGAGTTACTTCTGGCTTAGTCTCCCTCCGAGTTTGGGGAGACTCTTTAGCACTCCCGTATGCTTCTCCATACCTCCCTCTACGCTGAAGGCTTTATGTTGAAGGTCCCTGCTCTGGTCCAGGATGGAGAAGGCAATGTCATCACTAGCACCTTCCCTGGGGAGGCCACTGGGACCACTGGCCAGGCAGCACACACAGAGGTGGACAAGAGGGGGCAGTCCATCAGCAGTAACTCAGAATGACTTTATTCAGGAAATAAGATCATAGCACAGGGGCTAGGAGTACCCCAGGGTCTGGTTCTTACAGAGACTCGATAGCTTCTAGAAGAGAGGAGGCTGTCCCCATGCCGGGCAGGCCTAAGCCTCTAAGTCTCATAGCTTGACAGGAAGTACCCATACCCCCTACCCTGGAGTGCAGGCTCTGGGGGTGACTACTGGGTCTTGCAGTCCCCGTCACTGTTATGGGCCGTCTTTACCTTCTTCAGCTCCTTCTGTAGCTCTGACTCGGCTGCCAGGACCTCCTTTGGTTTCTGGTACTGTGGATGGAGCCAGGAAGTAGTGGATGTAACTCAGCCACTGAAGCCCTTCCCCTCCCTACACACACAGGGCCCCTTCCACTCTCTATTTGTACAGTCAGGCTCCTACCTGAGCCCCCCCCCCCCCCATTAGAGATGCTTGTTCTCCAACAAACACATCCTAGGGGCTAAGGCCAGAACTGGACAATCCTATGGGCAGGGAAAGTAGAAGACACTCCCTGATATAGTGGCCAAGAAGGCTGGGTGAATCTTACGGAAATGATCAGAGTGCAGTTGGCGTGAGCAAAACTCAGGGAAGACTCGTCCAGAGGCAGCTGGTACCTGTCTAGGTCAGGAATGGAGAACTTCTTGTAGTACCTAAAGAAACACAAAGACACGTGGTGACCCTAAGAGTTGGGCATCAGGCCATCTGCCACCAAGCTTCTACACAGTTCTTCCACACCTCCCACACAGCTGGGATAAAAGAGAAACCTGTTAGAACAGCAGTATTTCAGAGTTTAGTGACCTGGGAAAGGATGAAAGTCTTATGGCCTGTCCAACAGTAGACGTTCAGAACTACTCCTTAGTCCTTCATTAGATCAGGGTCAGAGTGACTCAGACTTAAGGGATGGGACTCCCAAAGCAGCCTCCTGGGATACACAGATGCTCAGACAACCTGGGCTGCCCCTATACCCCAAACCCCATGGTGGTACCATACAGAAAACGGACACACTTATTCTGACACGGGACAGAATAACAGTAAGGGCGAGTCCCAGAGCCGGGGCCCTGCAGTTACCTTTCACACAGGACTTCCACTTCAGGAAGCTACCTTTTCCTCTCTCGGGGTCTTTGAAGGCTCAGTCAGCCTGACTCGACTTGGAGGCAAAGAGAAAGGTACATCCAGAAGGAAAACTCTTTAAGAGGACAAACCACGGAAGCTAGCTCTGAGGGGGTCGGCTGCCTTGCTGTCCATGAGTTCCTACTCGTCTTCTCACACACCACACCCAGGCCCTGGCCTCTACAGGTGCCAGTCCAGAGATTAATGATCCTTTCTAATACCCAGATAGCAACACCTGGCCCACAATGTGTGCAACTGGGCTTTGTTTTGCAGGAAATTTGACCTCTTTAACCGAAGAGGAAACTCAGGCTCAGAGAAGTGAAATGTCTTGCCTGGTTTCACACAGCCCGTTATCAGTGGCTTTGTGATTCAAGTCCAGTGCTTCTTACACCACAGCACAAAGAACAGCCTCCTCAACTCTGACAACAGGACTATGTCATCTCCTTGGTGGAAGTGTAGCTGCAGCTCAGCCAGCGGCTGCCAAACCTGTCACCTGGGCACAGTACCCCTCTGCCGCAGTGGTTGTGTGGGCTGGAAAGGGACAAGCTGCAGGCAGGTACAAACAAACTCAAGTGAGGGGCCTGGAGAGGATGTGGCTTTTAGTACTTCAGAGGGGCCTGGTCCTCCTCGCGACAGCTACAGCTACTCGGAGTCCGAGTCCACTTCAAAAGCCCCGATGCCCTGGGGACTCAGCTAGTTGACATCAATGCAGCACTTCTGCCCCCCGCTCCTCCTGCCCAAATCCCTCAGCTCAGCAGGGTTTGCAGGGCCCCTCTCCTCCCAGGTTCCCCACTCCCCCACCAAGGTGCTGGGACCCACGGCAGGAAAAGAATGTTTACTCAAAGGCTGACAGTTCAAAAGGAGTCGGGGGGAGCCGGGTATCCTAATGGCACCACAAGTTTGCTTTATTTTCCAAAGCTCTGCCCCAGGGAAAGGTGATCCATCTGCCTGCAGACCGGGGGAGGAATGCCGGCCCCAGCCTCCTCCTAGTCAGCCCAGGCTGAAGGCTCTTCCTGGGGCTGGGCTGGCCAGCAAAGGTGGCAGACACTGATAATAGGGGGAGTCAAAGGTTAAACAGCAGAGATTAGATGAACACAAAGGCTTGTTAGGAAGTGTTAACATCTTACCCACAAATATACACAAAAAACAGAACAGGGAGAGATGCAGCCTGACACACAGCAGAGCAGATGGGGGCCGCGAGGCCTCGCCACCACGCAGACCATGGGAACATCCTACCTGGCTTGTGCGCCAGGGGGGGAGGGACACACCTGTGCGACCTCAGAGGGGCAATGACGAGCCACATTTCCCAGGCTGGGACAGTGGGGCTGGAAAAAGAATCCTGGGGCTTGGCCTCAACGCCAACGGTGACAGGATCAAAGGAAACTTGGGGTGCACAGCTTGCCACCCTTCCTTGTCCTGCTCCTGCCACCTTTCACAAGGCCAGAGGGAAAGGAGGCTCTAGAGCTCGGCCTCGCTTTGAGAGTCGATTGGATGGATTTCGTTCACTGGTTGAGGTTAAGCGACTTGTCACCAGAAGTTCCTTGACAGGCAGTGTTCAAGGGAGGATGGGGATCTTTGCCTCCTCAGGGGCACCAGCAGGCCCCCCCTTTTTACCTTCATTCTCTGGCTTTGGGGTCTGCCCCGAAGGGAACTGCACTGGACCTTCTCATCAGCGCCTGGACCAGAGAGGGACCCCAGGGACCCACTGTGCTCTTGGAAAGCTGGAACCCTCAGCCTCAGGCAGCTCAGGCAGCAGACGTTTATGGGGCATCAACTCTGTCCCAGGCCTTGATGGGACAGAGGCTGTGGCTGGGGATGTAAGGATGGAGAAGAAACACAACTGTGTCCCTGTACCCCAGGGGCTCCAGCTAGCAGACACAGTGCTTCTGCCCAAAGCTAAACCCTCCCAGCAGGGTAGCTCCCTGGCTTCCTGCAGACACTCAGCTCCCCCTTCCTCCTCCCCATCTCCTTTCTTGGTTCTCAGATCCAACAGTGCAACGAAAGACAACATACTAATGCTTATTCTGTGCGAGGCAGCGTTCTAAACACATTTGACCCTCAAAATAATTCTCTCAATTGGTTACCTCTCTTAGCCATTTTTTCCCGAAGAGAAAGGTGAAGCACAGAAACATTACCTTGCCCAAGTCACAAAGATGCTGTATGGACAAGCCCTGACTTCAAACACTAATTCCCCACATCTCCTGACCCTCCATCTCTCTACCTTCTCACCACCAAGGAACAGACCACCTGGTCTAGATTTCCTGCCTCTGTCCAAGGATGGGGCGGAAATGGGCACGGGAGCTTCTGGAACCCATGGACTAAGAGGGGGGCAGTAACAAACATGTCTCCCTCGGAATCTCTGGGCATAGGTCTCCCAGGCACTCCCTCCAACACGTAAGTGGCCTTCTTTGCATGTCAAAAGTCTTCAAAAAGACTTACAATGGAAGCAAAGGCTCACAGTAGGGTTCCTGGCCCTGCTCTGTGACCCTGGGCAGGCCACTTCTGTGCCTCAGTTTCTTCTTCCAGATTTCTTTCTCAAACAAAGGAGCTGAACTAGATGAACTGTAATCATTATAAAAAGGCCCAGAACGGTCCAACTCTGTCCCTCTGTCTTCCTGTGCCAAATGGGCAGTGCCTTCATTTCGGTGATTTCAGAAATGCCCTGCCCATCTCTTCCTACTGAATGCCCTCCCCAGTTCTCAGTCCTTCTGAACTGAGAAAGGGCATAAAAGGCCAGGCTCAGAGTGAGAGGCTCTGGAAGAGAGGCTAAAAGTAGAAGCAGAGCTGATACGGCAGCCCCCCAAGCCATGCCCCCCCCCCCAGTGGGTATCCTTCACACTGCACAGCCAGAGCTGCCCAGAGAAGTCTCCAGTCAGGCCTTGAGAAGACCAGCAGGCAGCGGGCCAACCTTCCTTCTTCCTTAGCCATCCAGGCTCTGGCCAAACTGCAGTCACCCTGCCTACAGCAGGCCCTCCTTGTGTCAACCGTGCACTCCCACTACTAGGGCTCACAGCAGGCCTGCCAAAGAGAAACCAGTTTAAGCCAGAGTCTCCTAAACTTGGTTGACCACAGAATCCTTTTTTCTAGCAATGCCTATTAATACCTCCCAGTGTTAGCATCACCACTGTTACATCAGCTAATCTCATTCAGATTTCCAAAGAACTGTGGGGGCCCTACTTGAGGCCAGCCACAACCCCTGTGCTCAGTGTCTGCTCATGCACAATTTCCTCAAATTCCCCACAACCTGCGACAGATGAGGAAACCTCGCCTCAAATAGTACAGCTAATTAGAGGCAGGGGTCAGATTTAACCCAACGTCCTCCTACTCCAGCACTCTGGCTCACTCCACTTACAGCTGCCAACCTCTGGGCTGAGGTGAAGAACTTTCTTTTGGCACAGATGCTCTTCTCAGGAGCAGATGGTGCCATTCTGGGATCCGAGAACACACTTCCTTTCTTGACTCATCCCTCAGTGATTGTTGTTGTTGTTATGGGCTGAGTCGGACCCGACTCATAGCAACCCTTCCTTGGGTTTCCAAGGCAGTATCACTACAGAAGTAGATTGCCCAATCTTCCTTCCGAGGAGTGGCTAGTGGGTTTGAGCCGCCAGCCTTCTGGTTAGCAGTCAAGTGCCTTAGGCACTACGCCAGCAGAGCTCCCTCCCTCAGTAATACCTGAGGCCAAAGGCACAACACACTAGAGTCCATTCCTTCAAGACAAGTGACCAACCAGTTTTTCAGGGGCAACAGGTAAGGATGAAGGAAGCCTGGCTTCGGCTGGTAACCACACTGCAGAACATTAGAACTAGGGGCAGGCATGGAACCTCAGGGGAAGAAAGAGGTCAAGTGAGAAAAATGCCACTATGGTAGAAAGTACACAAGCCTAGGCACCAAGGAGACTGTCACTAACCTTCCCCTCAGGTCAGCTTACCATGCTGCCTTCAGAGATACACCAATATGTAACAGGAGAATAAAACAATGCACCTGCCCACCCTTGGAGGATGGAAAGCTCAGAGAACAGATTTTTAAAAGTACCCTTAAAAAGTTAATACTGCTTAAAGGAATGGCCATTACATTCTGTTTAATTAGCGGTAATAGAAGTAAAGAACACAATACTCCAGGTAGAAGACGAAGACGTCAGTAGGTCCAGGAAGAAGCCAGTTATGGGTTTCATTGCTTCTCTAGCCTACCAGCCCAAAGCTCAGTGGGGGCTCCTCTCCAGCCACCAGCCCTGCCCCTCCCAAGGCCCCACTCCCATCCCACCTGGCCTCACCCATCATTTTAAAATTGTTTTCCCAGCCCTGGGCACTGGAGTGGGCTTCTAGCCATGAAGCTCCTGGCCAACAGCGCCACCTATGGCTGGATACGTGCAAGAGATGGGACCCAGAGGACCTGCCAGCAGATGAATTTTTTGGTGAGCTAGCTAGCCTCTCTCCTCTTACTCCCTGGTAATCACATTTCTGCCTGATATCTGTATTCGACAGTGACCTCTGGGGGACAAAAGGGAGGCAGCAGCCAGCTCCACAAACTGCTGGGCTGCAGATTCAAGTGCTATCAGAAGCACTTTTGTTCCCAGTTTGGACCCAGGGCCTCTTCCGCCAGGGAATGCTTGCTGAAGCACAGAGTTTGTTTTCCTACAGGCAATTTCTCTGTTGTCTGAAATTGCTAAATTCCACTTTAAGCACTGACTCCTGTTAATGATGGGAACAATAACGGGAATAAACTGCCTTTTATCTGAGGGCTTCAAAGTGCTTTATAAACGCAAACCCTTATTATTATGACTTTATATTTATAGACAAGGCCCACTGCAGGGGCTGCTGGCTGCATGTACAGCAATAACCCTGAAATTAATTCATTCATCTCTACCTCTTCCCTGTCCCCTGAACCCTGACAAAGTGATGGGGTGTGGAGGTCAGGAGAGAGGGGCAGACCCAGGGTTGCACTTGGGGAGCTTGGGAGCCACACTGCTTCTCCCGTGGGTCTCACGGCCCTGAGAGAGACAAGAGGGGAGGCTGGCGCCACAAGCTTAGAAGACGGGGCGAGGCGCTGTTCTTCCTGCCTGCGTGGAACGCTGGGCTGGGCTGAGCACCCAGGCAAGGGTGGTTCACAGCTGTGAACAGGTAACGCCTAAGACCTGCCAGCTCAGTGCCACAAATCTCTTTCACAGAGGGGAGCCCTGTGCTGCAATCCCTCTGGTGCAGGCTAAGACTGATTCATTTCAGGGCTGTTCTCTTCAGGCCTCAAACAGGGCTCTTTGACCCGTCGGAGTTCTGGAAACCCAAATGAGGTCAATACAGTTCCAAGACGGTCAGTCCAGAAACAGTTACCAGGTCCTCATCAGCCACCTTCTGTCCCCTCCTAGACTCTGCCTCTCCTGCCCCTTCTGCTAGTGGACCACAGGAAGAGAAGCAAAGGAAGTTGAGTACCCCTTTTGAAATAAGGCAGGAGACTCCCAGGAGGCCAAAGGATCTGCTTTGTTCCTTGGTGCAGCAAGGGACCTGGTTTACTGGATCCAGCCAGGTTGCCAAGGTCACAACAGCCTTACAGAGGAACTACTTAAGGCCATGTGGCTCCTTCATTTTCCTGGTCATTGAACGCATGCTATTGGGCCCCAGTATGTGCCAGCTACTGCATGAGACACTCGTCCGTTGTTCAGGTGGCAATCTCTCCCTGATGGAGCTGATGGCATTATTCAAACTGGCCCTGGGGAGGGGAGGCAGAGGGATCCTTTAGAGCTTCCAGTGCCTACTGAGGTTTTCGTCCTCCCGTCCTTCCTCCCCTTCTTTGCCTCTCTCCCTCTGTCCATTCCTCAGAGGCAGAGGGAGGAGGCTTCTCTCACCTCTGGGGTAGGGAGAAGTCCAAGACATAACCCCAGACCCCCTCCACCTCCAGCCTGCTCATACCACAGTGCACGAGTACCCAGCATGCTACTACTCACTTCTTGTTGGTCGTTCTGACAACAAGGCAGCGCTCCTTCTGGTCCACACAGACACTGTAGACATCCTTAGCGTAGGGGAGGTTTCGAATCCGCCACTGGAAACTCATCTTGGTGTCCTTGCGCATAAAGATGGGCTGCAGAGGCAAATCCAACTCAAGGACTATTCTTGGGGAGAGGTAGGAAGGGATAGCTCCTACGCTCCTCAAAGCCCCACCCAGTGGCCCCATGGGGCCCAGAGACACCGAGTTTCTCTCCATAGCTCCCTCTGATGCTGCTACTGCTGTGGTATTGCAGGCCTAGAGCCCTCACACTGGGATGACCAAGCCCAAACCCTTTGGGTATTCATTCGGCAAACATTCACAGAGCACTATGTCAGATGGGCGACTGCACAGGAGGAAGTGAACAAGACACAGACCCCATCTTCAAGGACCAGCAGCCCACCTTTGCCCTGCTCCCGCCCCCGCCCCAGACAGACAGACATACATTGGCATTGTTCTCCTTGATGAGCTCTGGCCCCAGGATCCCTGCTCCTGGGGGCGCAGGATCGCCCACCTCCGTCTGCCACTGGCCCAAGGCTCCCAGGGCACTTCTCATGCGCCATTTTCTCACTGGGGAAAGAAGGAAAGGGGTGAAAGCAGGACTCCAGGCCCTCACGCTGGGCTTTGTCCAGCTGAGCAGGGCCGTCCCAACCTCTGAAATCAGAACATTTCAATGTTGGACAACGTATACAGCACGCAGCATGGATGCCCAGGCAAAAGGAACTGGAGCAAAGCTCTGAGAGTACACCCAGGTGTGGCTTCAAGCAAGAAAATGACGCAAGGGTTAGAAAAAGGGTGACTGACAACTGGTAGTGGGGAAGATTCAGATCCTCAAAAGTGGAAGTTGAGATGGATTTTTTTTCCCTCTAAAAAACATGCAAAGGAAAAATGAAAACGGTGAAAGCGCGAGTCCCCGGGAGCTTGCCGTGATCATATAGTGGTTAGTACCCTGCACTGTGGCCGCAGCAACCTCAGTTCGAATCCGAGTCACAGCACTGTGAAAGCAATGGCACCGCAGAGGGACGGTGTTAGGAGCTCTGGTAGCATAGTGCCTAAGGTATTTGACTGCTAACCAGAAGGCTGGCAGTTCAAACCCACCAGCCACTCCTCGGAAGGAAGGTTGGGCAATCTACTTCTGTAGTGATACCACCTCAGAAACCCAAGGAGGGGTCACTTTGAGTCGGGTCCGACTCAACGGCACATAACAACAACAACAACAGGGTGAAAGCAGTCGCGCAGATCTGTCTCCTGATCTAGAAAGTCCAAAGACAGAAAGCTACTCATTTCAGGTCCAAAAACCCAAACCCAAATCACTACCATCGAGTCGATTCAGACTCATAGCACCTCCATTGGGTTTTCAAAGCTGTAAATCATTACGAAAGTAGATTGCCTCATCGTCTCCTGCAGAGCAGCTGGTGAGTTTGAACCGCCGACCTTCTGCTTAGCAGCCAAATGCCTTACCCATTATGTCACCCTAAGTCACTACATTTAAACGGTTTTAGGCACACATTATATTTAAATGCATTACTTCTAGAAGTTCAAATGTGAGGTGTTTTGTAAAGTGGACTCATCTTTTCATCATGCCAATACTCATCTCCATATCATCTGGTTTTCAGTCAGCTGTTGGTAAAGGATTTTTTTTTTAATGTAAGGTACATACATTATGGAAATTGTAAATCAAGAAATAAGTTCAATGGTCGTTACCTGAAAACCCCTGCTGGGATCTTCAGGAACCCCACTCAGCCAGGCTGCGAAGACTGCTGGTGTGGGTGCAGTCCACTATAACTGCAATGGTGTCCCCGCCCCCAGCTGTACCCCTCTATTTTGCTTCCCCTTCCAGCTGCTGTCTTTGGGTCTCCTCCAGGCTCCCAGCGTTCCCGGAGCTGTTGGAAGGAGCTGAACAGCTCAGAAGGGGCACGGTGCTCGGCCCCAGCTGTTTTTGTTTGTTTGCTCCTGTTTCTGGACTGGGCTCTGGCGGCTGCAGTCTGATCTTCAGTATCCAGGCAGGCTGAGGGTTTTCCTTGCGACCGCTGCAGCAGCTGTACCAAATCAAGCCCCCTCACTGCTATCAGGAAGGCATGAGAGCTCAACACAAAAGTCTGCTGTAAAATTAGAATTTCCCCTTGAATATGTGCTTCTATGAGGTCTGCTGCATACTGCAGTGTGATTTTATTACGTCTTAGGGCCAAAAACTCTCCCTAGAAACACATTTCCAAGTTTATAATGAAAATTAATAAGGAAGAGCAAGACTTGGAAATACGCTTTATAGGCAACTTTTTTTTCCCTCCCCACAGATACTGCTTTCTTAAGTGAATGGACTATGACCAGGAGTATATTCAAATATATTCACATAATACCTCGCTTAACTGGAAGCCTTCTGGGGGCTCTGTCACAGCCACAAACTCAGAAGTGACAAATGCTTCTGAGCAGCAGCATATGGTGACAAGATCCACGTACCTTACTCTACACTATAGGAAAGATCACTCCCAAACGCTCACTCGGACTACGCAGAAAATGCTCTGTGCACAATCAGGCAGGAAGTCACCTTTCACCCAGGCACACTGAGAGCATGTGGGGACAGCTCACCTCAGAGGGCAGCGTTGGGCCCACATAGCACCGGGGACTACCTAGTGCAAGGCCAAGCATGCACCCTGTAGACCCCGACCCTGGTGCTAGCGGGAGAGCACAGTCATCACACACGTTAAAGATGGCAGGTCCGTTCGATAGCATAGCTCAGCATCTGTGTTTTCAGATGAGAAACAGTATTTCTTCCCTGCCTGTTCTCCTTTGACCCCTGCCGCCACTCTCCAGGGGACAGAGTATGAAGAATTACGGAGGCTCAGTAATTCTATAAACTAACTTGCAAAAGCCATAGCTAAAGTTCAGGTCTCCTGACTCCAAGTCCAGATTTTGAGTCACTGATAAAAGGCTACCTCTAGTCTATCAGCGCTCAGTAAGCGTAAATAATATTTAGAACGCTTTCTGTATTTTAGAAAAGCCGTTCTATTTCTTCTATATATTTCAGTCTTTAAAGAAGAAGATTTGATTAACTGAAAAATAAGTATGAGGACTATCTAACCATCTAGGGCTGGACAGAAGAGGCATTCCTGTAATACTGGGCCTTGGTCAATTGTATATACTACAGCAAAGACCAGTGTGGCCCTAAGAGCCAGTTCCAGCCCCAGGTTTCCTTCCTTCTGACCTCAGAAGCCACCTAAGGTCACAGGAACTTGGCACCCTTGACTGCTTCACTTTTTTTAAAAAAGAAAACCTCGAGAATGAAGCCCTCTGCTAGAACTCAGAAGACAGTCTCCCCACCCATGCCTTTAAGAGATAGGACCCAAGAAATAATTTTGGTGAAATCCTTTTTCTTTCTCCCACACACACGGACGTGAACACCCCCGTGTAAACACATACTTTGTCTTCGCTTGTCTTCCTTGTCCCTGTCTTTGTTCCTGAACTCAAGGACAGCTCCTGCGGCAACAGAAGACTGCCTCCACCTGCTGTCATTCTGATTTGATTATACGTTCAACCCAAACTGGTGTGTGCACGAGCTCCCCAGGACGCTGTCATCTCTTCCTGGCGAAGCCTGGCCCAGTCCTTGGAAAGGAGACTTTCAATGAACCTGTAAAGGGTCTGCCGGGGACTATATGAAGGAGGCAGCGCCTGGGGCTTTTTCCTAAGTCAGCAGGAAGCAGGCTGATGTCCCGGACTGCTAAAAGGAGGCTCTATCTTTCAGGTGGGCTGGAAAGTGGAGGTCCTCAAGGCCTCTTTCCCCAAAGCTCCAAGCCCTGGCCCACTTCCAACGTGGATAATTACATTCCCTTTTCCTAAATACTCCCTGCAGCTTAGACTGGATGCAGGATTCTTCTTTTCTGCCCTAAAACACTGCGACATTGCTATGTGGCTATTAAACAGCTGCCACGTCCCATCCCTGAGGAGGCTGAAGGGAATGGAGTGGGTCATTTATAAAGCCGGTGAAGTGCTTGGGGATGAAAGTGCTCAATATCCTCCAAATGCAGCCTGGGCTGGTTAGGCTGGCGGTCAAATACCAAAGCAGATTAGGCCAGTAATCCGAATGTAATCGCTGGGGGATGGCCTGCCCTTCAGCCTCTGCCCGCTGGGCATGCTGTGTCCTTGGGCTGGTTTGATGTTCCGATCATTGTTAGCAGGCCCTTCAGCCTTTCCCTCTATGAATACATACAGTGTTCATTGTGGGGGGTGTGAGGGGGGACAAATAGCATTGAGAGGGGAGCAGACAACATGACACTAACATGCTGATTAACATCAACCCAATAACTCTGTCCTAGATGGATGTGCACCTATTGGCGATTCCTCCTCTGTAAATTACTTTGTGGGTTTTTCTAACAGAAAACCAGGTGGCCAATTATCAAGTCTGTATCATCAGCTGAAAGAATGGACACTATTCCCATTTACTGCCACACAAATCCATGTTCTCTGTATTTTTACTCCATAGACTGCATGACCAAAAGCCACCTCAGGCCCTGGGATTATTCAATACTTAAAAATTAGTCGTGAAATGGAATCTGCAAGGACAGCTGGGGCGGAGGGAGCACCCGTTGGTGATGGGGAGGAAAGGGCTCCACTGTTTGGGCGGGAGCCCAGTGGTGTGGGTGGGTTATTTCTCAGCTGCCTTCTCTGTCCTGCCCCAGTCAGCCCCCACTCAGGTCATTCTGGGGAGTGAAAATTTAGTAAGAAGGAAACTGGATTTAAATATTCTCACCTCCCAAGGACATACTGTTGTGAATGGAAGCAAGGACTCTTAATCAGGCAAACCTAGGCTTAAATTCTGCTCAGAAACTAATCAGCTCTGTGATTCTGAGCAAGGTGTCTCACCTCTTGGGGCTTCAGTTCTTTCCAACAGTAAGACAGGGACAAAAGTATCTACCTCATAGGGCTCCAATGAGGATGTTTAAATAAGGTAATTCACATAAGGCACTGAGCATGGCACCCAATAAAAAGTATGGCATTGATATCATCATTAGGTTACCTGTAGCCAAACAATACTCTCCTATGAGTCTCCACTTCTACTTTTAAGAAAAAGGATTTTGGACACCACGGTCCATCCCCACCTGCCAACAGGGGAAGTGACAGGTTAATGTGGATGATGGGGCACAGAGTGCTACAGATGAAGGAACCTTGAGTTGTCTTTCATTTTAATTTCATGTCCAAGCACAACAAAGAGGCCTGGTTTTATTTGTTTGTTTGTTTTTACAGCCACAGCAGCTATAGCGTTTTATTTGCTCTGTGTAGAGAAGAGAGGTGATGCAGGGGGCTGGGGAGAGGAGCAGAGGCTAGTCTCTGCCTGGTTATGGTGGTGGTTAGCCCACGTGACCTCTGCTTTCGTAAGTTCTCCCCTGTTAGGCATTCCAAGGCTGTCACCCCCTGGGAGTGCTATAAATTACAATGCATTGTGAGGATATTACTACTGTATTGGTTTCCACCGAATCAGTGTCATATGCTAAACACATCAAGATTTTTAATAGCACCAGACTAAACCAATTGGGACTGGAGCCCAAGCAGCTCATAATAAGGGGGGATCAACACTTCACTCTGCGACTGAACATGCGCAGGACACACGTGTTAAGACCGGAGACTAAGAGAATACAAACCAGTGTAATCTGTGTTGTCGGGTCTAGACATTTATGAGCTGTCAGAAAAAGGGAAAAAGAAATTCCCTGGCCAATACTACCTGTCGGTCAGGTCCAGGAAGAAATTAAAGTCGAGAATAATGACAAGAAAATAACCCAGCCCAGGATTCCATCATTGGTTTGAGCATTTCAGGTGGAACTTAATAAAGAGACCAACTCCCATTGCTGACAGCCCTAGGCCCTAGGCCAAAGAGCGAGGCACCCAGCTCTGGGAAGGCGGTCACCACTGAGGTGCGTACCTGGGAACCGAGAGCAGGCACATCAAATCACTCCCAGAGCTGAGCTGGAACCCCTACCCATGCACCTATTCTTAGAGGAAAAGAGCCGCTGCAATGAAAGTGACTGTGTTGCAAAGTCACCCTTTCTTCCTCCCTGCCCGCTTTGATTCTGCCCGTCCTAGGTAAGGGCCTGATTTAATAGTGCCCATTTTTCTTGCTGCCCCTGCCCTTTGTCAAGGTCAGATGCATTGGCCAGAGACTTGCTTGTTCCTGGTGTGGTTTCAAAAAACACAGCCCAAAAAGACAGGGTAGGGCAGTGAAAGCCTGTCCTTACAGCTGCCAGTCTACAAGACTCAGCTCCGATACCACCTCCTCTGTCAAGTTTTCTTCTCAGCCGTTTCTCTACAGTCCCATTCCCACCTGAGAAGGGCTACTCATGCTCTCAAACGGCTGTGGGGGGCGGGGGATGTGTGTGCGGTGGCTTTACTGGTCAACTCCAGGCTTCCACCTGCCCGGGCCCAGCTCTGACCTCGGACTATTCTCAGGGGCAGTGCTGTCTGGAGGGCTTTGGTCTCCCGGACCTTGCACATTTGGTGCTGAGACTCAGGCTACGGGTGTTCACCTGTGCTCAGGTCAGCCCCCCTGCTGGGAGTCTCTGTCACTTACCAAGTAGTTCACTTGTCTTTTCATCATATTCTTCAGCCATTTCCTTCCCGTCTGGGAACAAATAGTGCACCTTCCTTCTCCCTGTGAAAAAGCAGAAAGTACCTTACCCCAAAGCCTCCTCTTCCTCAGTCCTCTTGCAGACCATGGCACCTATGAGTAAACAGCACTGGGACTTTAAGAAACTCTCCTAGAGCCTCCCACGAACTCCTTGCCAACCACCCATCAATGACCATTTACTTTAAGACATGCTTTAGAAAGAACTGGATGGTGCCTGGCTACCATTAGTGAACATTTTGATCAAAGATTCTATAGAAGAATCCTGATCAAAGGGAGGGGAGGTGTAGAACAGAATTTCACATTATCATGGAATCCATACTTTCTGGGAGCCCCGGAGGGTGGATGAACTGCTGAAACTATTGCTTTTAGATGATATTTAAACCTTAAAGATAGATAAGCAGATACAGGTGGGTTCCTCAATAAGACTAAAAACAGTGCACTAACACCCAGTCGATAGGCACCTGACATACCGTGGATGATTAAGAACTCCAAAGCCCCTAACAAGCTAAAGGTGCCACTAGCTAAAACTGGTGACCTGTATCGAATCTTCCAAACACTTTTCTTGTCCAATTCACTCTCCCGGGCTGTAGTTATCTTCAGTTGTTCATAATTTATATTCTGGAACAAATCACTCTCAAAATTGTAGGGCCTCTCAACAGGCCATCTAGGTCATTTGGATGTCTCAAAGGAGCTGAGGAAAACTCAAAAAGTTTTCCTCTCAGGGACAGGGTATAAGGCACTGCTTCTAATAGCTGTGGGTGTCTGAACTCCTGATAGCTGTGGGTGTCTGGCCTGGAGCTTTCTGCAGCCAGGCAAGATGCAGTGCTTACCATCTGCCGGCAATTTGCGTGCTTTATCACATTGCATTCCCATGTGCTTCCATTACCTGTAGTTCACAGGTAAGGACAAGTGAGGCTTCAAGGTCATGTGACTTGGTCATGGTCCTGAAGTTAGGAAATGATAGACCTGGGCTTTCACCCATTTGAGGCTCTAACAACCATAGTAAATAAATTAAATAATTTGTATGGCTTTAAATATTTGTAAGCTGAACATTGTTTCAAGGGTTTATTGGCCATTTTTCTAGTGAATTACCAGTTTAGGTATTTGTTGTTGTTGTTGTTAGGTACTGTCAAGACGTCTCCAACTCATAACGACCCTATGTACAGCAGAATGAAACCCTGCCTGGTCCTGTGCCAACTTTACAATCCCTGCTATACCTGAGCCCATTGTTGCAGCCACTGTGTCAATCCATCCTGTTAAGGGTCTTCCCCTTTTTCGTTGACCCTCCACTTTACCAAGCATGACATCCTTCTCCAGAGAATGGTCCCTTCTGACAACATAACATGACCAAAGTAGGTGAGAGGAAGTCTGGCCACTCTCGCTTCCAAGGAGCATTCCAGCTGTACTTCTTCCAAGGCAGATTTGTTAGTTCTTTTAGCAGTCCATGATACTTTCAGCATTCTTTGCCAACACCACAACTCAAAGCATCGACTCTTCTTTGGTCTTGCTCTCACATGCATATGAGACGAATGAAAATACCATGGCTTGGGTCAGGTGCATCTTAGTCTTCAAGGAGACATCTTCACTCTTCAGCACTTGAAAGAGGTCTTTTGCAACAGATTTGTCCAACGCAATATGTCTTTTGATGTCTCGACTGCTGCTTACATTGGCCTTGATTGCAGAATCAAGCAATATGAAGTCTTTGACAACTTCAGTCTTTTCTCCATATATCATGATACTGCTTATTGGTCCAGGTATAAGGATTTTTGTTTTCTTTATATTGAGGTGTAATCCATACTGCAGACTGCAGTCTTTAATTTTCATCAGTCAGTGCTCCAAGTCATCCACACTTTCAGCAAGCAAAGTTGTGTCATCTGTGTATCTCAGGTTGTTAATGAGCTTTCCCCAACCCTAATGCCATGTTCTTCTTCATATAGTCCAGCATCTTGGATTATTTGCTCAGCATACAGATTGAATAAGTATGGTGAAAGGATACAACCCTGATGCACTCTCTTCCTGATTTTAAACCATGCAGTATCCCCTTGTTCTGTTTGAAAGACAGCCTCCTGTTCTATGTACATTTTCCTCATGAGTACAATTAAAGTGTTCTAGAATTCCCATTCTTCTCAATGTTATCCACAATTTGTTGTGATCCACACACTTGAATGCTCTTGCATAGTGAATAAGACACATGTAAACATCCTTCTGGTATTCTTTGCTTTGAGCCAACATCCATCTGACATTAGCTATGATATCCCTCGCACCACATCCTCTTCTGAATCCAGCTTGTACCTCTGGAAGTTCTCTCTCAGTATAATGCTGCAACCGTTTTTTAATTATCTTCAGTAAGATTTTACTTGCATGTGATATTAATGTTTAGGCATTAGTCTGTTTGTCTTTTTCTTACTGATCTGACTTTTGTATACATTAACCATGTGTCATATATGTTTCAAATTGTATCTTTTAACTTTGTTTAAAGTGGGTTTCCCCAAACAATAATTTATTTTTACATAGCTTTTTTTTTCCTTTTGGCTACTGCCCTAGAAGTTATGCTTAGAATATCCTCCCTTACCCAAAGATTATACAATATTTACCTAATCTTCCTTTTAATACTATATTTACTCTAGCAATATATAGAGATAATAGATATAGAAACTATAGATATAAAAACCTAAAGTATGGAAGCATGATATTTTGGTTAAAAAATATATATGCAAGCATGTATGAACGGAAAATATAAAAGTAATGTAAATTATGATTATTTCTGGATGGCAGGATTATTATTGAAAAGAACATTTCAGGATCTATCCTAAAATATAACACTGGCAGTGATGTTGTTGTTGTTGTTGGCTGCCATCGAGTCAGACCCAACTCATAGTGACCCCTCCTTGGTTTGCTGAGGCAGTATCACTACAGAAGTAGAGTGCCCCATCTTCCTTCCGAGGAGTGCTGGTGGGTTTGAACCACCAGTGATAGAATAATATCAATACACGTACAAGGAAGACCAGCTAATATGACTATTATTCAAATTAACATATCAACCACCGATGCCAAAGATAAAGAAACTGAAGTTTTTACCAATTTCTGCAGTCTGAGACTGATCAAACGTGCAATCAAGATACACTGATGATTACTGGTGATTAGAATGTGAAAACTGGAAACAAAGAAGGATCAGTAGTTGGAAAATATGGCCTTGGTGATAGAAATGATGCTGATGATAGCATGACAGAATTTTGTTAGACCAACATCTTATTCATTCCAAATAACTTTTTCAACAACATAAACAGTGACTATACACTAGAAAGGGCTCTGGTGGCTCTAAAACTAAAGCATTTGGCTGCTAACCAAAAGACTGGCAGTTCAAACCCACCAGCCACTCCACAGGAGAAAGAGGCAGTCTGTTTCTATAAAGATGTACAGCCTTGGAAACCCTATGGGGCATTTCTACACTGTCCTGTAGGGTCACTATGAGTCAGAATTGACTTGATGGTAGTAGGTGGGATACATGTGGACCTTGCCAGATGGAATACACAGAAATCAAATTGACTACATCTGTGGAAGAGATGATTGACAAGCTCAATATCATCAGTCAGAATAAGGCCAGGAGAGAATTGCTTATATGCAAGTTCAAGCTGAGGAAAATGAAAACAAGTCCCTGAGAGATAAAGTATGATCTAGAGTGTATCCCACCTGATTTTAGAGACCATCTCAAGAACAGATTTGACACACTGAATACTAATGATCTGAAGACCAGACGAGTTGTAGAATGACATCAAGGACATCATACATGAAAAAGACAAAAGGTCATTTAAAAGACAGGAGAGAAAGAAAAGGCCAAAATAGATGTCAGAAAAGACTGAAACCTGCTCTTGAATGTAGAACAGCTAAAACAAATGGAAGAAATGATGACATAAAAGAGCTGAACAGATTCAAAGAGTGGCTCAAGAAGACAAAGTAAAGTATCACAATGAAGTGGGCAAACACTTGGAGTTAGAAAACCAAAAGGGAAGAACAGGCTTGGCATTTCTCAAATTGAAAGAACTAAAGAAAAAATTCAAGCCTCAAGTTGCAATATTGAAAGATTCTATAGGCAAAAAGCTAAACAATGTAGGAAGCATCAAAAGAAGATGGAAGGAACCAGAGTCACTTTACCAAAAAGAAATGGTCAGTGTTCAACCATTTCAAAAGGTAGCATATGAATAAGAACTAGTGGTACTGAAGGAAAAATTCCAAGAAAAACAAGATCCCAGGAATTGATGGAATACCAACTGAGATGTCCTGACAAACAAATGCAATGATGGAAGCACTCATTCATCTATGCCAAGAAATTTAGAAGACAGCTACCTGGCCAGACCACAGAAAGAGATCCCTATTTGTGCCTATTCCAAAGAAAGGTGATCCAACACAATGTGGAAATTATAGAATATCATTAATATCACACACAAGTAAAATTTTGCTGAAAATAATTTAAAAATAGTTACAGCAGTATATAGACAGGGAATGGCCAGAAATTTGTGCCAGATTCAAAAGACAGTGTAGATATCATTGCTGATGTCAGATAGATCTTGGCGAAAAACATAGAATACCAGAAAGATGTTTACCTGTGTTTATTAACTATACAGACACATTAGACTATGTGGATCATAACAAATTGTGGATATTTCCCATTTTAAAGAATAGGAATTCCAGAACACTTAATTGTGTCCATCAAGAACCTGTAGATAGATAAAGAGGCAGTTGTTTGAACAGAACAAGGGGATACTGCATGGCTTAAAATCAGGAAAGGTGTGCATCAGGGTTGTATCCTTTCACCATACTTATTCAATCTGTTTGCTGAGCAAATAATCTGAGAAGCTAGCTTATATGAAGAACATGGCGTGAGGACTGGAGGAAGACTCATTAACAACCTGTGACATGCAGATGACACAATCTTGCTTGCTGAAAGCAAAGAGGACTTGAAGCACTTGCTGATGAAGATGAAAGAGCCTTCAGAAATGGATTACACCCCAACACAAAGAAAACAAAAATCCTCACAACCGGACCCATAAGCAACATTATGATAAATGGAGGAGCTCTGGTAGCATAGTGCCTAAGGCACTTGACTGCTAACCAGAAGGCTGGCGGTTCAAACCCACCAGCCACTCCTCGGAAGGAAGGTTGGGCATTCCTACTTCCATAGTGATACTGCCTCGGAAACCCAAGGAGGGGTCGCTATGAGTTGGGGCCGACTCGATGGCAAATAACAACAACAACATGATAAATGGAGAATACTGAAGTTGTCAAGGATTTCATTTTACTTGTATCCACAATCAATGCCCAGGCAACCAGCAGTTGAGAAATCAAGTGATGTATTGTAAGTCTACTGCAAGGGACCTGTTTAAAGAAATAAGAGCTGTGGCATGAACAGATATATGCACACCCATGTTCATTGCAGCGCTATTCACAACAGCAAAAAGATGAGAACAACCTAAATGCCCATCAGTGGACAGATGGATCAGCAAACTATGGTACATTCACAAGATGGAATACTACGCAACTGATTAAAAAAAAGACCAACTGATGAATCTGCAAAACATTTTATAACACAGATGAACTTAGAGGACATTACAGTGAGTAAAATTAGTCAATCACAAAAGGACAAATATTGTATGAGACCACTATTGGAAAAAGTCAAAAAAAGGGTTTCACAAAATAGAAGTATTCTTTGATGGTTACCAGGGATGGGTGGGGAAGGGAGGATAAACCACTAACTAGAGGGAAGACACATATTAACTTGGGTGAAGGGGAAGACAAAATAAACAAATGTATCTTAGGGTGTACTAAAAGTGTTAGAGTGTACTTTCTACAGCTTAAAAGATACTAGAAATTCTCCACTACAATTTCATCAACTTTGAAAAAAAAATGATTAAGAAAAAAGCCATAAGACAAAGAACTGCAGGTTCTTATAGGCAGTGGCAACAGTATATAAAATGAAACAATTATCAAGCATGATAACATCATGCAGATTCAGGACACAGTAAATGACATTTACTGTGGTGTTTCAGAAAATAGGGTCAGTGCCACATCTTACGCTACTATCAACAAAGAAACTGCGAGCTTGCAATCTAAAGATGATGATGATGATGAAGACCTATCATTCCAAGAGCCCAAGTCTTTAAGTTACACATAAGTTTTCAGCTATATAAAGAAAGTCATTGAAAGGATTCTAAAACGTTAACCAAGAGTTTTTTTGATAAGACTATGGACTTAGAAATTCGTTTCAATAATCTCATCAAAAAACAAAACAAGCTAAACAGTTGATGATAGATGTTTTTATTAAAAAGTAAATTTTATCCATATTTTTAACAGCATATGCCCATAGCTATAAATAATTTGAATAAAATCATAGGAAAAAAAAAAAAAGACCTCTTTAAAGTATTAAAGAGCAAAGACATCACCTTGAGGACTAAGGTGCTCAGACTAAGGTGCTGCTCCAGATCCAAGCCATGGTCTTTTCAATCCGCTCATATGCATGAGAAAGCTGGACAATGAATAAGGAAGACCAAACAAGAATTGATGCTTTTGAATTATGACACTTGTACAGAATATTGAATATACCATAGACTGCCAGAAGAACAAGTCCATCTTAGAAGAAGTACAGCCAGAATGCGCCTTAGTCCCTGGAGAAGGATATCATGCTTGGAAAAGCAGAGGGTCAGCAAAAAAAAAAAGGGGGGGGGGCTTCAATGAGATGGATTGACACAGTGGCTGCAACAATGGGCTCAAACACAGCAATGATTGTGAGGATGGTGCAGGACAGGGCAGGGCTTCATTCTGTTGTACGTGGAGTCACTCTGATTCGGGACTGACATGATAGCACCTGACAACAAGGATATGGGTGATGTCTTAAAATTATTTTCATTATGTCTACAATGAATATGAATTAATTCTATGATAACAAAAAATTTAAAACTGTGTTATCAGTAACAGTAGCAACTCCTGGTGGGAAGGAGGTAACATCCCCTACACATACACACCCACACACCCAGGAAGGAAATCTGCAAGGGAGGACTGAAAAGACATATCTGTATATTCAATTCTGTATTACTTTTTTGGTTTGGAAAAAAAACAAAAGCATTGCTCTGTGATGCTACTAAAAAAAAAAAAAAAAAGACAAAATCTTAGCTGATTAAATATTTGTTCAAACACTGTCCTGTGAGATAGTAAGGAGATCTGGTGGCATAGTGGGTAAAACATTTGTCTGCTAACCAGAAGGTCAGTGGTTCAAACCCAACAGCTACTCCACGGGAGAAAGATGAGGGAATATTTCTGTAAAGATTTGCAGCCCTGGAAACCCAATGGAAGTTGCTTTGAGTCAGAATTGACTCAATGGCAGTAAGTTTGATTTTTTCATTTTGTGAAATAGTACCATGTTCAGCATGGTATAGGATATCTCTCACAATATGCCCCAATTTATCTGCAATCTCTCTTCATTTTCTCCCATTTCCTTTTAAGAAAAGGGACCCTTTATTTGCCCTTGTATCCCAGCACCTAGCATAGTGTACAGCACAGCGTGAGGGCACTGATGCTTGATAAAGGTTTGTTTTTAAATGAGTGACTGCTCTGGCCTCACCAAATGTTCTGTTACTCCTCTAGTAATAAGTCATATACTTTCACACCCTCATGGCTTTATTCATGAATCTTTCTTCCTGGAATATCCATCCTCTCTTCTCCACTTACCAGACACCTATTAATTCTTGAAGACCCATAAATGTCACTTATTCTGTCAGATCTTCCTCCAAAGAGATCATCATTTCCACCTTTGCTTTCCCAGCATTTTATACAAGATCTCTACTTTACACACAGTATTGTGGACTTACCTGTCTTCCTCCTTGACCATACTGTGAGTGCTGGGACATCATGTCTTTTTCTATCTGCTCTAGTATAGAGCTGGGCGGAGTAAAGTCTCCTGATGTGTTTCATGAAATCGCTCTTCAAGCAAAAGAGCAGCTGCAGAGTTCAGATGTAATTCATTCTGGCTGCCAAGTAATCTAAAGGACCCTACACCAGCCAATCCTAGGGTGAGAGAAAGTCAAGACTCCCTTCCACTCACAGCTTTTGGCCCTTGCTCTGTCTCCCCTAAAGACCCAGGGAACATTTAGAGGGTCACTCATAAACGCTGGTGGCACAGTGCCTAAGGTATTTGACTGCTAACCAGAAGGTTGGCGGTTTGTTCAAATCCACCAGCGGCTCCGCGGAAGGCAAACAGAGTAATCTACTTCCGTAAAGATTTACCGCTTGGGAAACCCAGTGAGGGTCACTATGAGTCAAATCGACTGGATGGCAGTGATTTTTTTTTTTTTTTTTAATAAATATTTCCGCTAGAAAGGACCTCAGAGATAACAGAGGTGGTCCACCAGTCTCATTTACAGATTAGGAACGTGACGTCCAAATGAGTAAAGGGGCCAACCGAAGATCCAAATGAGTAAAGGGGCCAACCGAAGAGCCCCTGGTGAATGAATGGCAGAATCAGAAGTAAAGCCAAGGTGCCCCGCCTGTCCATGACACCAAGGTGCCTTCAGCGACAGAACGTCAGACTGTGGTTCATGGGATCCCAGTTGTACCACTGACTGGCTGGGTGAACTGGGGTTGGTCTAAAACCGTGGGTTTCAGTCTCCTGTTCTGTAAAATGGGGTGGAAATTTATCAGACTCAAGAGAGCGCGCTGAGGATCAAATGGGATGATGAAAGTGAAAAGGATTATTATTTATTAATAACTGTACTCAGAGTGGGGCGAGATGGTGTAGAGAAAACTAGAAGGTGTCCAGACACGTGTGGCCCAGTTACGTCATTTCTCTGGGCCTCAGTTTACTCATCTGCGAACGCGGCACCTAGACTGGCTGACAGCCGCAGCCCTTCGGCTATGCCTTCCCAAGCTTTGAGGCCCTTCCCGGAGGCGCCAGCGGGGAGAGCCGGACCCTGGGAAAAAGGACGAAGGTGCTCGCGGGGGCCTTGAGTTACCGTCTTGCAGCAGTGCAGTCTTCTCTGCAGCCCGCAGACTCTCCAACCAGCCAGTCACCGCCATCTTTCCTTCGCCCCGTAGCGCGCCCGGCCAATGCCATAGCAACCGTTCAGCCGAGGGTCACTTCCGGCTGACCCGGAAGGTGTTCTGGGCAGTTGCCCTTCCCCACCCCCATCCCCTCACCCCCATTCCCTTCATCAGCTCTCATTGGCCACCTGGTGAGTATTTCACTTCCGCCCTCCCCAGAGTGACCAGACTGAAGAAGACCCTATCCCAGCGCGGAATCTTGGGAGGAAGGGGCTCACGCGGCAGAGGTTGGGACACGCCAGTCCTCTTCTGGCCCCTAGCTGGGAGTCCTGGGCCGCGCCAGCTGCGCACGCAGCGGGTATACCGCACCTGCCGGGGTCTTCTCCACCCCCAGCTGTGAGGCCGAACCTTCTCCAATCCCGAAAGGCACCCCACACCTGCTGCGGCCGCGCCTCACCTCCCTGCAGCTGTGCAGCTGAGCACCCCATGCCAAGAGGCCTGGGACCAGGGCAGGTGCAGGGCGTTCCCCCTGCCCCCCTAAACCCTTACCACCCCAGGTTTTCCTCTGTGGGTCTGTGTTGAGGGTGGAGAAAAACTGAGGGGTTTATGTTCGGGCTCCCTGCATTCTCTGCTTTTCTTGGAAGCCCAAGTCCTTCCTAAAGATACAGCTCCATTTCCCAGCCTGGCATCACCTTTTGGTAAAACCCTTTGGAAACGAACAGACACCGCTGATCTTTAGAGTAACCCCTGTGAGGAATCATACTCTCCTTCCCCTCAAAAGCCCTCCATTCGTCCCAGTCTTCCCTTTACTTCCTCCAGTACTCTGACTGTATAAGACTGGTGAGTGTAGAGCCAGACTAAGCTACTGAGGTTCAACTAGGTTTTGGGAAACCCCTGGGGACTGAGCTGCTACCCCAAAATGGCCAGTAGAGACCCCACTTCCACAGGGAGAGAGGTGTTTTTTGGGGAAGATGTTGATTCTGGATTTCCTTCCACATGACAGCTGCCCTGATAACCTTTGGGCAAAAAGGCCTGGATCCAGCCATAACTCCATGGACCCCACAGGTATCCTGAAGGCATTTCCCAAGCGGAAGAAAATTCATGCCAATCCATCATCACAAACTTCTGTGAAGATTCCCAAGAGGGAAGACAGAGAAGAAGCAGGAGGTGAGCAGACTCACTCTCAAGAACCCTCATGTGCTTGAACTCTCAACCTTCCTGCTAACCTCCATTTCACGTCCAGAATTGGCTATGGAAGATGACTCTGCCTGTTAGGGCCTGTGAGTCTGTTTGCACCAAGCAGTATGCTTGGTCCTGGGTCTGTGACAGGCCCCTTGCTATATTGTCTTCTACCCTACCCCAGGATCTCCATCACTGAGAAAATGTTCCTTGGTTTCTCAGGAAATGACCAGCAGAACCCCTTGCTTTTGAGGAGGCTGCTTTAGGAGGCTGAGGACAGAAATCCCACTTAGGTCCTCAGGGTTGTAAGTTATTGTGCAACCAAATGGACAAATAGATGGCAAAGGTTTACATGGGAGCTGGGGGAATGGAGGAGGTCTGTGAGACTGTGAAGCCTGTAGGTGCAAGAAACATGTCTTCCTTGTGCCTGGCACAGAATCAATGTGAAGAAACGATAAAAATGAAGTGATTCTGAAGTGCATTTCAAAGCAGAGAGAGAAGAGGCATTTATTCCTTCATTCAACAGATATTTATAGGCACTGTTCAAGGTACTGGGTTACAGCAGAGAGTAGGACATGTAAAAGCCCTTGGTCCATACATGCAAGTAATGGTCCATGAGCAATGTGCTTTATGCTTGAAGTGGGATCCCCAGAAGGCAGGCTGCTTGAGGGGGAGGGGACTGTAAAAGGTTCATTCAGATCATATTTAAAGGTCATGACAATAGGCATCTGAATGTCCCTTCCACAGGGTGGCTGAGCTCCCTGCGGGCCCATGTTGTGCCCACTGGCATTGGCCGAGCACGGGCTGAACTCTTTGAGAAGCAGATTGTCCAGCATGGTGGCCAGATATGCCCTGCCCAGGCCCCTGGGATCACTCATATTGTGGTGGATGAAGGCATGGACTGTGAGCGGGCCCTCCGTCTCCTTAAACTGCCCCAGCTGCCCCCAGGTGCCCAGCTGGTCAAATCAGCTTGGCTGAGTGTGTGCCTTCAGGAGAGAAGGCTGGTGGACACAGCAGGATTCAGCATATTCATCCACAACAGGTGGGCCGGTCCTAGTCTTTCCTCAAATGTTTTCTGGCAGCATCTTGAGTTCTCTTCTTGGATTTTGAAAACTAACTATCGTTGTCTTAATTGAACACATTGGGAAACCAAGATTTCAGAGGCGAGAAGGATGGGGGAAAGGAAGAAAAAGACCTTTGGTGTCTCAGCAGCCCACCACCATCTCTGCAGGTTCCTGGACCAACCACAGCCCATTAAAGGCAACCAAAACTCTTCTCCTCTTCCTGGTCCCCATGAGGCTCTACTCGGGACACCCCTGTCTCCTCCACCTCCTTCCATCAGACCTGTATCTCCTTTCCAGAAAGCAGAAGAGGCACCAAGCACCCAAGCCCAGGTCAGGAGCCTCCTGGCTCCCACAACTCCCCCCTACCCCCTGCTGCACCCCACAGCAGCAAATCATAGAAAGTTCCAGGCCTCTGAGTGAGGAGGGCTCACTTTATTGTGAAGCCATTTAGCTCTTCCCAACATTGATCACTCCTGTATTTGTACATTCCATACCCATTGCATACCATGGGGGTCCTCGGGCTGGGCACGTGGGAAGCCAAGTAGAACATGGCCCTGCACTTAAGGGGACCCAAGTCTGATGCAGAAGACCCAGCCTCATTCTTGGGTCTCACTAGGAGACTTAACCCCTACCTTCAAGGAGCCCTCCTAATAGAGGGCAGGAATTTATTGTGTCTTCTTTCCTACCTCCAGTCCTGCTCTGATGATGAAGCCAGTGATGGAGAAGAAGCCCAGGTTAGCGAAGCTGATTTGCAAACCCTGATCAGTGGCCACTATCCCACCCCCCCTGAGGGAGATGATGAGCCTAGCCCAGCCCCCAAGGCACTGGCTAAGTGGGTCTGTGCACAGCCTTCAAGCCAGAAAGCCACCAACTACAATTCCCACATCACAGAGAAGCTGGAAGTGCTGGCTAAAGCCTACAGTGTCCAAGGAGACAAGTGGAGGGCCCTGGGCTATGCCAAGGCCATCAATGCCCTCAAGAGCTTCCACAAGCCTGTTACCTCTTACCAGGTAGGTACCTAGGGACTAGGGCAGGGGGAAAGTGGTCATCCCTTTACTGGAAAAAAAAATGGGGAGATTGATGAAAGCAGATTGGCAAAATCTTAATAATTGTTGAAGCTGAGTTGTTACGCTACTTGTTAGATTCTGGAGACCAATAAGTAAGCTTGGGTTTGAAGTCTGCTTCCCATCATTGACTGGTTGTGTGACTTTAGACAAGTTACTTAAAACCCCTGAGCATCAGTTTAAGAATAGTAGCAAGTTCACATATTTCTATGAGGATTAAATGAGATGATCCCTGTAAAGCACTTAGCACAGGACTGGTGCACAGTTTAGCCCTCAGTAAGTATTAGCTCTTGCTGTTGCTATGATGGTGATGATGATGACAACTAGAATCATCATTTCCCTTCTGCTTATTGCTGGTCTCCCTTCTTCTGGGAACCAAGAGACAAGTTACCCAGCCACCATTCAATCCCAAATTCACTATTTCAACTGGGCCTAAGATGAACATAGCCTTGCAGTTGCCAACCAGGCTGGCCTTTTCCCAGATTTCTCCTAAAGGAGGGAGCTTGCTTCCTGCTGGCGCTGTGGCCATCTTGTCAATCTCCTCTCTTGCCTCTGCCTTCTCTCCTGTAGGAGGCCAGCAGTATCCCCGGGATTGGGAAGCGGATGGCCGAGAAGGTTGTCGAGATCCTGGAGAGCGGGCACCTGCGGAAGCTGGACCATATCAGCGAGAGCGTGCCTGTCTTGGAGCTCTTCTCCAACATCTGGGGGGCTGGGACCAAGACTGCCCAGATGTGGTACCATCAGGTCGCACCCTGCCTAGCCCAGCCCCCACTTCCGTTTTCTGGGTCTCAGTGTGCCCAGCCCATGGTTCTCTTACACCTGTGCTCTGATGGGAATTAACCCAGATTTTAGGAAGACCACTTTTTAAGGAGCCCAGAGCTCATAGAGACCCCTCTCCTGGCTCCCAGACAGCCCTGTTTGGTATCCTCGAGGCATTACTGGGTGGTGTAGGCAGGGCCTGCAAGTATATTTCTGTGTTCTTCAGACCAGCAAGGGCTTTCCTGAGGAGACCAGGCTTTGGGGCTGTGCCCAGAGCAGTGGCTCCCAGTCATCTGGGAGCCTGATAGCAACGCGGATGCCTAGGCCCATCCCCAGACCTAAGGACTTGATGCTAAGATGGAGTCCACCATCCAGTATTTTAGGATTGTGGCATGCCTTCCTTGCCCTCTGCCCTTCCACATTCACGCTGATTACAGTCTTAACTCCTGCTGGGATTGGTCCTGCCTCAGGCTTTCTTGGAATCTGTCGAGTAGGGGATGGAATGGGGGATGGAAGCTGTGTGTGTGTGTTTTCACTCCCTGCCTCTTCATCGGTACTGGATACTCATAGCCTCCCCATTTGGCTTCTTTTCGCAGGGCTTCCGGAGCCTGGAAGACATCCGCAGCCAGGCCTCCCTGACCACCCAGCAGGCCATTGGCCTGAAGCATTATGATGACTTCCTGGAACGCATGCCCAGGGAGGAGGCTACAGAGATCCAGCAAACAGTAAGCAGGTGTCCCAGAGCAGTGAGGAGAGCCAGGCCCTGCTAGAAGGCCAGGGCCTGGCTCGAAGCCAAGAGCCTCTGCTCCCTCAGCTGGGAGCCCAGCAGGCAGAGGAATCTGTGGGTCAACAGAGGTTGGGGCCAGTGGGGGAAGAACAAGGAGTGGAGGAAGCAGCAGGCCCAGCAGAGGGGTCAGGTGGCTTTGTAGGGCAGCGGTAACACCAGCTCTCTGGATTAGGGTTCTCAAGAGTTGGGCAGAGTAGGACTGGGTTAGATGTTAGAGTGGTGTTAGGATTGGGTTAGATTAGTTAGAGTGGTGTTAGGACTGGGTCGATGTTAGAACGAGATCAGAGGCAGGTGGTGCTCAGGATTGCTTGAGGATATTGGGGTTAGAACTGGGCTGTATTAGAATGGATTAGAGCAGAGGTTCTTAACTTTGTTTTGGGTCACAAATTTCTTGGAGAACTTGGTGAAAACTATGGCCTCTTCCCCATCAGAATGCACAAAAGTGTATGAAGTTTTATGTCTCCATCCAGGAGTGTATGGACCTCCTAAAGCCCACCCAGGCCTAAACGTTACACTTTACAATTTGGGTTGGAAGCACAGCTCCAGTAGAGTTAAGTTTGGAGTTACAAAAGAGTTAGAGCAAGAATTGAATTAAAGTTAGGCTTGAATTAGGATTAGAGTTTTGTAAGTGTTGGTTGCTTTTGAGGTTAGGTTTGTGGTTGTCTTAGAGATAAGGTTTGGCTAGAATTTGGGTTTTGTTTAAAGTTGGGTTAGGGATTAAAAAACAAAACAAACCCCAAACAAACCCACTGCCATCGAGTCAATTTCGACTCCTAACAACCCTGTTGGGTTTCTGAGGTGGTGGATCTTTATGGAAATAGATTGCTAGTCTTCCTTCCATGGAGTGGCTGGTGGATTTGAACCACCAGCCTTCTGGCTTACAGTCACGTGGTTCAAGTGAAAGCTAGGTTAGGGAGAGACTGGGCTATATTTAGGGTTGGATATACCATTTGTAAAGTTGGCTTCAGGATTAGGGACTGGTTGCTATGGGCAGGTTTGCTCACTTAGGTCTAGGACTCAATTGGGGTTAGGACTGCATGGGGACTGGCTCAGTTTAGTTGAAATCAGTGTCTAGCTGTGCCCTGGCCAGAGGACTGAGGCCACATAGGACGAATGCTCAGGCCCCTTTTATCCACCCGTCACCAGGCCTCGGTGCCAGTGATGACACCATCATTCAGCCATGGTGTTCGGGCACAGAGAATGCCCCAGTCAGCCTCCAGCCCGTTGGAACCGAGGTGGCTTCCAACCTGGCTTCCTGCTCTCCCATTTAAGGGCTCCAGCTTTAGGAGGTTTTGATGGGATTACTCATTCTCCTCTTGGGA